CGGTAGGTGGTGCTGTTTCTTCTGAATCAGCACAAAGCTAGTGACCATTAGGGCAGTGTTGAAAAGCTGCCATGAAAATCTGCAGACCAGGCATGATAGGGGCTTACCATGCTATTAAATGGTGATGTGAGCCAAGGAGCGAGATTATTTACATGCTGATTAAAAAAAAAACTGCTTTGCTGTGGACAAGTAAAACTGTGTAAAGTTGTATAAGGAGCACTCTCCTCTCTCAGGTCAAATAAAGTATCTACAAGAAAGTGCCTCTAAGTATTGTGGGGCATGAAAGAACTTGTGGTACTCTGGGAACGGGCACAAGGGGATAGATTTTCTGTTCATATCCTCTAGATCACCAGCATTGTCCAATGTCAGAAGACAGGATACTGGACTAGATGGACCTTTGGTCTGATCCACGGTGGCTGTTTTTATTTTCTATAATGTTATAATCTAATGCCTTTGCTAAATTCCCATTTGGAAAACTTTTCTAAATCTACTTGCACTTTCATTGGGTGGCTTGTATTTTTCGTCCATCTTTTAGCTTCATGTAGTGTTGCATTGTATGGTGTTTGCTGTAGAGCCAGGTGAATTGATTAATATATAAACACTTCTGTTTTTAAACTGCTTTAGGCTCTTTTAGGGATTCTTGTTTTGCCACACTAGGTTAGTTTCAAAAATCCAAAATGTAGCTGCTTTTGCAGCCTACACATGAAAGGATCAGCTTCTTGGGGAACTAAAGTGTCTGCGAAATGTAGAAATGCTAAATCATATAACTGGAGCTATTGAAAAACTCTGATCAAATTAAACATGCACCTCCAAGGTATATCGGTTTTCCAGTTCTGCTGTTTTGTTTCTTGGTTTTGGTGTTGTCCTTCAGTTGGAGGCTTGGCTGTGCCTTATTATATTTAGCTCAGGGCTTATACAGGCAGTTCCCGGGTTATGTACAAGATAGGGACTGTAGGTTCGTTCTTAAGTTGAATTTGTATGTAAGTCGGAACTGGTACATATTGTAGGGGAAACTCTAGCCAAACATTTCTCCAGAGCTCAGTTTTATTCTCCCACACCTCACTTCCCTCAGTCCTTTATTCTCAAGCTGAGGTGTCTGCTGAGAAAAGCCGCTCCGCGTCTCCCTGGTCTGCTGGGGGGGGGGCGCTAGCTTCGCGTCTCCCTGGTGTGCTGGGGGGAAGCAGCTAGTGTGGGGTTGCCTCACCCCGTTTGTAAGTAGGGATCCGATGTAAGTCGGATCCATGTAACCCGGGGACTGCCTGTAGTGTGCTTTATTCTGTACAAAGCTGGTCTTGATAAGGCCCTGTCTGGCAATCTAAATAGGCAAGCGATACAGGTCAGTTACTCTGTGCATTCAGGGGCCATAAGATGCATTAGGTTTTTAGTTTTAAACAAAGTAAATACTGTTTTCTTTGCTGAATTAACACTGTTAGATTTGGGGACTAACCATGTCTTCTGGGGCGATTTGAGTCAAGGTGATGCGGTCACTGTGTGTGCATGTTTTGTCCTTGTGAGAGCTGAGAGCCAGGTTTGAAATGAACAAACGCTTTATAAATAGATTTATTTCTCATGAAATACATAACAGCCTGTGCTTCACAGGAATTGGGTTCTGGTTTTTTTTATCGCAAAATAAATGAGCGCTAGAATGTCACAACTGAGGCACTATGCAGGAATGGCTTTAACATTTCACAGGTGTGTTGAGTCCTTTTAGATTATAGGATACCAAGCCTTGAATGGTAGGATATTTTCTTTAAGAAACTAAAGGTACATCTAGACTACATGCCTCTGTCGCCAGAAGCATGTAGATTAGGCTACCAGACATAGGAAAATGAAGCGGCGATTTAACTAATCACCGCTTCATTTAAATTTACATGGCTGCCGCGCTGAGCCGACAAACAGCTGCTCAGCCGCTTCATTTTCCTATGTCTGGTAGCCTAATCTACATGCCTCTGGCGACAGAGGCATGTAGTCTAGACGTACCCTAAGAAATACTACTGTCTGTTTAGTCTAATGCCTCCGTAAATAATGTGTCCGAAAACACATCTTGGAATTTTTAATGATCGTTACAATGCACCATAATAAATATCAGGAGTGTACAGGAGCTCACTGAATCATTTTATAGCTCTCAGACTCATGCTAGGTGCTTCACAAATAAGACAGATGCGCTGCCCTAAAGCACTTACTCTGAACATTTTAGATCTGATACGGTGAGTAAGGGTGGCAGACGGAAGGGGCTGGATGGGGTGAGGACGGAGGGGAAAGTATACTGGTACAGGCTGGTATTGTCTGCTGCTAAGAAATTGGCCGAACTAGCGTTTTGTGCATGTAGCCAGAGTTAAAGTGCTGCCACAGCTGTGCTTTAATGTGGCTGTGTAGTCCCTGCTCCAGCGCTGAAAGAGAGCTCTGCCAGGGCTCTAATAAATAAGCCACCTCCTAGCACTTACTGTAGCGCTGTCTACGCTGCCAGGTACAGCGCTGAAATGTGCATTGCTTGGGGGGGTGCGTTTCACACCCCTGAGCGAGGAAAGTTTCAGCGCTGTGCATGACAGTGCAAACAACTGTCCCAGTAAAGCAATTTAAGTTATTCACACCTGGGTGAGGAGAATGAGGCTTTCCACTTGTGCATACGGCTGTGACTTCCTCAAGGATGTGGTCGTGCATTGTTTTCCCTTACGGTCAATACCACAACAGAAGTGTCAGGAAAGGATCCCAGAGAAGGGGTATTGACATAGTAGAGCCGAGCGCCCCACACTAGCGATGCGCTTACACACATGCTTAACTTTTTTTAAAGTGAGCAATCCCCTTGCATGTTGAAAGTTAAGATTTCGGTGAGGCCATCCATGCGCCAGAGCAAACCATGTGCTTAAGTGTTGTGCTGGGCCAAAGCACTCCAGGTGTTCCAGGATCGAGTACCTCATATAGGTGGCAGCTGGTAAAAAGTCATGGACCTGCTTGGGGGACAGGTGGATCATAGAGGCATGGAGAGTGGCATGGTTGGAGCAGCAGCAGAGACCGGATGAGATGTGTGACTGGATGAGGAGATAGGGGTGGAATTACGTTGTTGACAAAGTATAAATTTGATGCAGTAGATACTTGGCAAATCGGGTCAGAGGACAGGAAAGTTGTGGGGGGGTTGGAGAAAGCTGTCCCACGCTGTTAGTACTCTTCAGCCATGCTTTGTACCCTTTGAGTAGGTAGCTAGACTCAAGCATTGTCGTACATGTGTGCGAAACATGATTTAGGTAACTTGTCTCTTGTGAACTGTGATCCACCAGTAGGGTTGCCAAGTGTCCAGTTTTCACCAAGACTGGTGGATCACGGGTAATTGTGCAGGGTGACCTATCTATAAAGTGTGTAAGCTTTATAATCACAGGGGACTTTTTTGCTCAATCAATTTTTTTTCTGCCATGTTCGGTATTTTTTGTGAAAGTATCTGGCAATCCTATCCACCAGCTCCCTCTTCCATAGTCCTATATGCTGGGGATAACCATGCTCAAGTCAGGATAGGAAAATGAGACACTCTGGCATGCACCAGTTGTGTTCTGTCGTCTGTCCTTGTTGATGAAGTTTTGTTCCAAGAGCAGCAATACATGCATTACTCTGTGGAAAATACACACACGGTCACAGGTTTCAACAGTCCTGATAACGTCAGGTCTGAATAGCTGAAGTGCAAAAATACCCCCCCAAAATCTGAATTCTCCGAAAGGAAGAAAGACACTTTTGGGTCCCACGTTCTGCTAATTCAGATATGACGGAACCAGTTTTCTTACCACATATGACGAGTGTGTGTGTGTAAAAATCAATCTCATATTGGACTGAAAAAAGTAAATACAGCAAAAACGGTCCTCCCCCCCTTTTTTAAGGACATTTCTAAGAGCCATGGGACCATAATCAAATGACAAAGCCTCTTCACCTACATGGTCATAACAGTATTTCAGGTTCATAACAGTATTTCAAGGGCCTGTCCATAGACTTTTTATGTCCCCTTCCTCTCTAATAACAGTAGTACCAAGAGACCACAATCAGCATTGGAGGGCCATTGTGCTAGACACCCACCTCTTCCCCGCAGGAGACTGTCCCTGCTTGAAGAGACTAGACTCTAAATAAATAAGATGGATAAGACTCGTCCCTGTTTTACTGGTGGAGAACTGAGACCAGAAGGCCGGTTTTTAAAGGTGCTTAAGGGTCCAGATACTCCAAGATATTCAGACTCCTTTCGTCCATTGATTGAAATTAATTTCAGTGGAAGCTAGGCACCTACGTACCTCAAGGTGCAGGATGTCGAGTGGGATCAATGGGCGTTAGATGCCTTAGGTGCTTTTGAAAATCCCCCTCGGATCCCAAGTGCCTTTAACCCAGGGAGATTAAGGGTGGTGTTTTCCAAATGCTCACTGTGTGCTTGACTCCTGCATATCTGAATCATGTTGATTCTAGGAATGTGAAGGTTTAAATGGTTTAACTGGTGGGGCTGGAGCAGCTCCCTGCCTGCCACGAGCAAGGGACTGCTGCAGTGCCCGGGCACCCCACAGGCAGGTCATCTCTGCCTGGGATGCTGGAGCAGCCCCTGCCTTTGCTGCACCCTGATCAGTCACAGAAAGTCACACTGCTCCAGCGTCCTGGCCAGTGCAGCACCTGCCTGTGGCAACAGGAGGGAGGTGGCATTTCCAGGCCAGCAACGGGGAGGGGGGAGGAAGGGGCGGGAGAGCCTCCAGCTGGGCTGGAGCAACCCCCATGCACCCTCTTAAACCAGTGAGCCAATTAAATGGGATTTTACATCCAGAGGTGGAATTTGCTTATGGTGACTTCTGCTGCTCCTTCTGGCCACCCTTCTTGAATGTCGGACAAGAGGCAGATGGGGGGGGGGAGTGGAAATGACTTTACTCGGTCTTACGGCTGCAAGCCATCCAGACCACTCGTGTATCACTAATTGCCCGTCAGCTCGCTCCTTTCACCCTTGCAAAGGGATAGCTGCAGTAGCTCAATATCAAACCTCTCCTTTAAAATGTCCCCCTTCCAGCCGACGAGGAGCACCAGCGAAATGTGGCAACCGCAGTGGCGCGGCCTCGGCCTCACGTCGAAGAGCGGGGAGAGGGGATGCCCAGACGCCGACGGAACATGGGCAGCAGGATGCTCGCCCAGAGGAGAGCGCAGCAGGCAGAAGAGGGGATGGAAGGTAACTTCTGATTCAGCTCCACTTTTAAAAACAGATTGGGCTAGCAGGTGGGCTTGGTTTGGCCTAGGTACACGATAAGCCTCTTAGAATGTGCTGGCCAGCTGTTCTGAATGGAGACTGCAGAACCCGAAGCCGACCGGCCGTGCTGTCCTAATGATATGAAAGTACATTTACACAGCACTTCCTCCAGTGTGTTCGATCTCCTCTCACTAGAGGTCATTTGCCCATCATGGAGGTACAGCTGCTTCTGTGATAGATTGTGGCCACTGTTCTGTGCCAGCAAGGTCACACTGCTTCCTGGAG